GACAGCCAGGAACTCAGGTTTGAAGGCTTCTCTGCAGTCCCCTTGGCTAAGAATTGGTCTGTTCAGTCAGTGGGGGCCTTGAGACTTTCTTTTTGGTTTACAAGTACAAGAAACTAAATTTTGCCAAGAGTAATTAGTTTTGTAGTACATTATTTTTTGTCGAGACCCCCAGATATGAACTCAGTTTAGCTGACACCTTGATTTTAGCTTTGTAAAACCCTGATCAAGGAATTCAGTCATGAATTCCAAAGTTCTGACCTATAGAACTGTCAGATAATAAGTAGGTATTGTTTGAAGGTGCTACATTTGGTGATATGTTACACAGTAACAGAATATTAATAAAGATTTTGTTACTGAAGGTAGAGAATGCCTAAATATATGAGACTGGCTGGGGAAACCAGCAGTTGATGGAGGCTGGGAGAATTTTGAGGAACATGATTATCTTTATCTAACTGTAAGTAAAAACATACATCTTAAAGATTCTGCTGGTGAGGGGCCAACAGTATGTGAGGAGTATGTTACTAGAGACTGGAGGAAAGAAGATCCTTATATGCAGTAGCATGAAAATTTGAGAAATAGTTTCCAACAGTTATGTGGAAAGCAGAACTTGCAAGTGATGCATTGGGACATTTAGCTGTGATTATTTCCAAGCAATGTTTTGAAGTGCAGTCTGGTTAGTTCCTGCTGCTTATGGCAAAAGACGACAAGAGAGATATATTGAAAATATAGCTGTTAAATAAAAAGGAACTAAAACTTAAGGACTGGAAAATACCCATCCTATCCAAATGACAAAATATACTAAAATTAAGAGATTCCTTCTGAAAGTATGACACAGAGAAAAAGCTGAGGATGTAGTTGTTACAGTCTTTCTCTGAAACCTTAGAAAAATAAGAAAGAGCACTCAGCTACACAAAGGTCATTTTCAAGAGATTGAAAGCATGACTCAAATATTTTCTCAACCAAACTAGAAGGGTTGGGCATAGATGTCAGAGACACAGAAATCAGAGATTAAAAGCATAAAAAGGATTCCGTGTGCTACTGCTGCCTTAAAGCTGGAGGGTACCACGTGGCAAGGAATGCACATAGCTTTTAGGAACTGAAAGCAGCCCCACTCAGTTATACCAGCAAGAGGCAAAAATAGAAAAAGATGATCTCAAAAATATCTGTCAGTGTGAATTTTTTTTCAATGGAGTGAAACCTAGTGTAATTTATGCAAGACTCACCTCACAATGTTTTAAAGAAAACAATTCTGAAAACAACATGAAAAAACTTGAATGCAAATTTTCTCTCAGAGCCTCCAATGAGAACTCAGTCTGGCTGAAATTTTAAATCCTCCTTAAGACGTCTAGGACATCTAAAATCCTCATCATTAATTGTTCAACTAATTCTCTCCATGTTGCTGACCAGCCAGTATTTTAGTCATTGCTCATGAGGCAGAGTAGATCCATACCTCCAATCATTAAGGGTTCTATGCAAAATGGACAGCCACATGATTCACACAAAATTCTACCCCAAATCCTAGCATGTCTTTTTTCTACTGTTCTGGGTTATCCCTGAGTAGGGCTACAGTGAGGCAGCCATCCACTTACACCTACTATCAATATACCAAGAAGATACATCCAGGAACTGATACATTGTTTTATATCTCTTTTTTTAACTGGTCACAAGGATGAAGAACTCTCCAAGATGCCATATGTGATATATGTTGGTTGAGAGAGAGAGTCAGTGAGTCTGATCAAACTGCACATGAAATTTACTTGTGGCTTCTTGGCTTACTCAGCTCTGATCTTTTAAAGCCATTTGCAATTAATGGTTGAAAGCTGATGTCCACACAAAACTTTATTTTTCAACAGAGTAGACAGCAACACATTCATTAAGAGTAGCTTGTTAGTATGGAAAACCAGTGCCTCATGGTCAGGTTTTAAGTCTCTACTAGTTTTGATAGCAAGCCAGGAGCAGATTCTCAAATGTAGACTAGTTGCCAAGAAAAGAGGGAATGATTTTGCTTTAAAAACCCTAGAGGCATATACTTTAATTCTACTATTGGGGCTTTCTAAAACTTTATGGAGCCTCTCTTTCTAGCATGGACACAATACAGTTGGATCTGCAGGGTCATGAGGCTGAAGTGTCAGAGAAGCTCCCACTACAGTCTGGAACTACTGTAGATCTTTTTCATGCTCTGGGTACCACTTAAAACTGGAAACCATGTGAAGTCCAAGAACAAAATCACTATGATGTATATTGTCTCTAAAATCTAAGGTCTTAATTCCCTCAAACTAAGTCTAGTAAAATCATCTGTAGGTATGTACTTAACTGCTACCCACCCAGGGCAGCTTACCACTCATGATTTCCCACTCTGGCAGGCATTCTTCTGTTCCTTTGTGAAGCTGTGCTCCTATGGCATATAGAGAGCCCTCCAGTGCGTCTTTTTTTTTTTTTTTTTTTTGAGACGAGTCTCACTCTGTCCAGGCTGGAGTAAATGGCATGATCTCGGCCCACTGCAACCTCTGCCTCCTGGGTTCAAGCAATTCTCCTGCCTCTGCCTCCCAAGTAGCTGGGATTACAGGTGCCCACCACCACATTCAGCTAACTTTCTGCATTTTTATAGAGATGGGGTTTCACTGTGTTGGCCAGGGTGGTCTCAAACTCCTGGCCTCCGGTGATCCACCCACCTCGGCCTCCCAAAGTGCTGGGATTATAGATGTGAGCCACCTCATCTGGCCCTGGGTCTTTTTATAGCACAGACTCTACAGTTGTTTAGTTTCACTTTCCAGGGGCTGAGAAGTTCCACCCCTTACAGTGCAGGAGCTCTCCTTGGTGCTGCTGAATATGTGTAAGGGAAGCTTTGACTGTGAACTATATATAATGAGCTAATATCTCTACTGATACTCTACTATATATAGCAGGACTTGTACAGCCTGTGAAGCCCATAGCTCCCCAGTACTTTTGAGAGTATAAGTAAACCCTGTTAGACAATTTAAGTTATTTGTCCAGAGTTATTTAGGTAGACAGGGGCTAAACTTGGAGACTCAGTCATTATTATTTACATTTGTATTAAGTACTTACTACTTGTCAGTTACTTGTGTTAGGCACTAGAAATACAAATATAAAATGGACAGGCTATGCTTTGAGATGCAGAATACAGTGCAGTCTTTCTCAATTTTCTTACTGCAGCCCACAGTCAGAAATTTATTTTTGTCATAACTCATGGTGCACACACATATACACATAACTGAAACACAAATTTCACAAAAAATTCACTCTACTTACAATGCAATTTGATATTTTCTGTTTGTATTCAACTCTATTCTATCCTATTTCATTTTTCAAAAATTGCCTGTCTTGACCCATTGCATTGATTTCAAGATCTACTTTTCATGGGGGAAGGACAACTTCATTTTGAAAAACATCGGCTTATTTAATAATCTGTGATGTGTGTTTTATATGGCACATAGGATTATCTTTTTAGGCACATATTTTATGTAAAGGTGGAAGTGGGAAGCCTGAAGAGTCTCTTTCTAAGGTGGTGCTTTTCAAACTTCAATGTCATAGGAATCATCTTGGGATCTTGTTAAAATGAAGATTCTAACTCAGTAGGTCTGAGGCAGGGCCTGAGATTCTGCATTTCTAATTAGTTCCCAGGTGATCATTACGCAGCTGTTTCATGGACCACAACATGTTCATTACAAAAGATTTAAAACTCAAATGTATTGATTGGTCTGCTGAACTGTTAAAGTGTTACCTGACAAATTTCCTGAGAGTGAACTCAACAGAGATAAGGGAGTCTGCAGACAAGATATTAACCCATGGGAACATCACAGTCACTATCATGCAGGTGTTTTTTCCTGGCCTAGCCTGTAATATCTGAGTTTTGTGAGGAGAATATTTATGTATGCAAAACAAACAAGAAATACACATAAATGATCATTTTGCCAAAACAGAATTTGGAAAATATTAATAAGAGGCCCAAGCAGCACCAAGGTGATATCCATGTGTACCTGGTTGCTATAACTATAAACTGGAGAGAGGGCTTTATCCACTTCTACAGGGGTAAAGGGTTGGTGGACATTGCTCATCAGTGACTCCAGAGAAAATAACTGGGCTTTTACACCATAAATCCTCTAACAGTAAAGGGTGTAGGACCGGGGAAAAAGGGCACAGTGCCCAGCACACATGGCAATATCTAAGAAACATTGACATCTACTTCTTAGCTGCCTGGACATATTCCTAGACACGGTGGTAACTCCTTCAGCCCTCCCCCGATGTGTCCGATTCCATCAACTTTCCTGCCACTGTATGGGAATAGTGTAGAAGCCATTCCTCCCCTGAGTGCCTGGTGGGGACCAGGTCACCACACAGCTCACATACTCAATACCTCATCTGATCCACCAGACAGTCCTGTGAGGCAAGTATTATCCTTATTTTACAAATGACAAGCTTGACTCCTATAGCAATAGATCTGTTAGAATTTCCAGGTTGATTCCTCTAGCTTTTAGTCCCAGAGACAATATGAATTTTACCTGTCATCTTATGCTATGATAACATGAACTTTAAGTGTCTTTATTGCCTTCATAAGCTCACTGAACCGTTCAATTTCTTATTATGTGCTGTTTTCAGCTTTTATTTTTTAGTATGAAAAATATAATCCATAACCTTTAGTAAAGAAAAAGTAGAGATGAGTGAGCAAAGCAAAGAAAAAGAGTCACACATGGGGGTTACATAGCATTATAGAGGACCCAGGAACATGAGCAACAGTGCCCACTGACCTGGACACACCTAGGGAAGACATAGGGATATGCACAGCAGCAGAGGAATGTCATAGAGGTACACATAAAAGAGGTGGTAGGAATCATTTCTGAATACAGGTTAGACCTATTCTTGGCTACCTTTCAGGAATAATCATTACCTACTTCTAGTGTGCATGCTTTCGGAGTTTTCTTTGTGCACAAATGCATTATACGAACACTGACGTTTTTATAAAAGCGGGCTGATATTGTATATGCGGTTCTGCAAACTGTTTGCTCTTTTAGTTATTTATTTTACAATGTGTCACGAACATTTTTTCCATGCACATGGGTGAAAATCCTCTACTAAAATATAGAGCGCTGTAGTTGGGTCAAAAGGCTGCTGGTAACAAGATTGACATCTAAAGCAAAATATCAGCTTAAGGTTAAAGCACAGGGCCTGGCAAATACCTACTAGGGAAAGCAGGGCCAGCAATATTCTCATCAGAGAAGTCAGAATGGAAGGCCAAAGACGTTAAAGGTATGAGATATCGTGTAAGCCCCTCTGGCCCCTACCTCCACCCCTCATTCCCCTGACGCCCCGTTGGCCCCTTGGGGCGAACAGATCCTGTACATCTCTTTGCATCCAATGAAAACCACCCATTTTCTGTTTCTTCCTTAGCTCCTCCTGAGCCCTTGACACATCTCCACATTCTCTCATCATCTCCTCACTGCTCAGATGCCTTCCCTGTAAGTCCTCCTGAGAGTCCTTAGGGGAATCTTCGGTCCCCCTGTCCGTTTTTCTTTTTGCTTTCCGGGGCACATAATCTTCAGCCGGGCGCTTTTCCGCGGCCCGCGGCTGACTCTCTGGCTTTGCCTGGGAGGCTGGCTTGCCCTCGCCTTGTGTCTTGCCCTCACCTTTGGACTTGCCCTGCTTTTCCTGGCTTCCCTCATCTTCCAGTTGTCCCTCATCACCTGGCTCTCCCTCATCCTCTCGCTTTCCCTCGCATTCTGTCTTCCCCTCCACGTCCGGCTTTTCTTCCTCGTCTGACTTTCCTTCATCATCAGGCTCTACTTCATCTTTTGGCTTTCCCTCGTTTTCCAGGTTTCCTTCATTCTTATTGTAGGGTTTTTCCATGTCAAGATTTCTCCTTTTCCTGTCCTAGGGGATAGGAGTGGAGGCAAGAGGAGACAAAGAAGAGACATGGGAGACTGACGGTGTGGGGTGGAACGCAGGTCTCGATAATACTTGCATCTCACCCGTAGTGAGGGTTCCACTAAGCTGGCTGGGCCTCCAAGAGGGCCTTCTGCCCACCATGTAGCCCGCCACTCCTCCCACACACGTGAGCCAGCCATTGCCTGGCAGGCCCTGCCACCTTCTCTGCACTGGTTCAGCCTGGTAAGGTGCATGTTCATGTGGGTGGGGGGATGGGCAGGGGCCCCAACTCAGCCATAGCAGGGCCCTCCACACTCTCAACCCTTGTGGGCCCCTGTCCATGCAGCACCCCCCCTCCCCGTCCCCCGCTTTTACGGACCTGCGGGGATTCTGGACAGGTTGCTCCTCCTTTTCAGTCCTTGCAGAGTGCTGGGAACAACAGACGCACAGACCTGCAGACAGACAGGAGACAGGGGTAGGGGCTGCGTGCTCAGCGGGCTCACAGGGACTTGGCTCCCTTCCCTGAGTCCAGGCCCTGCTCGCCCAACATTTTCCTCCCCTACCTCTCCCGCACCACAGCCTCCATTTCTTTCCAGGCCTCGGGCACCAAACCAGCATGCTTTCCAAACTGCGTTTGTCTCTGTGTCCCCTTCTCCCAGAGGCAACCTGTCCCAGCGCCACACTGCTTTTGCGGAGGTCAGATGTGTCCACGGGGGCAGATTGTGAGAGGGGGTTACTTCCAGAATATCTACGTTTCACTGTCGCACTGAGGGGTCGCTCCCCCCACCCCCATTTCCAGCACTAAAATGGATGGGTGGCTCAGTGCAGGGGGTCCTCCAGAAGGCGGGCCAGGCTCCCGCGCCCCCGCCCCGCCCCCTCCCGCTTCGCATCACCCTACTCACCCATCTCCCGGATCCCTTCTCCACCTCCTCCCCACTACTACTGCCAGCCACCTCCACCATTTCCCTGGGTCCGCAGGCAGCGCCCACCTTCACACTGACCTGCCGGGACCCCTGACAGGCCTGTGCCTCCTCCAGCTCGGTGAAGCCGGCTCGCGGCTCCTCCGCCGCCAGGGCAGCTCAGACAGTTGGTTCTGCGCGGGCGCTGGGACTGGACCGCAGGGCGGGCGCGGGGGCTGGTGCCCACGTAGGCGCCTGGTCACTCACGTGAGCGCTGCGTCACCGGAGCTCGGCCACCACCACCCCCTTCCCATCCACCTCACCATCCATCCCTTAGGGACCAGGAGGCCGCTGAAGGTGAGAGAGGGTGTGTGTAACAAAGGAATGGGTGGGGGGGACGTCAGGAAGAAGAGGAGGAGGGGGTGGCGTTCTGAACCCAAGTGCTTTACCTGGCGCATTTCACAGCATCTTCGCAGGGCATCTCTCCTCTCTCTGATGCCCATTATCGACAGGTGTGACAGCTGATCAGAGAGGGTAGCCGACTTTGCCAAGAGCGCTCAGCCCCAGAATTCCAGAGCCCGCTTTCACGACAATCTCTGCCTGACTCCAGAGGCTGGGGTGGTGGTGCCTGCCAGGAAGCTGAGCTGCCACCTTGAGTGGTGCTGTTCCTGGGGTTCTGTCCTAAGCCTCCTTTCTCCTCAGTCCTCAAATTCTCTCTCCCTGTTTTATCTCATTCATTTCCTGTAAACACCGATGACTCCCAGATGTATATCTCCAGGCTATTCCCTTCTCTGTGTCTCATCTCAACTGTCTATGGGACATCAGGGCTTGAGTGTCCCTGAGGGACCCCAAAGCCCGTGTAACCCAAATTGATTTCACCAGCTTCCTTCTTGTTGCCTCCGTTGGTCTCTCTCCACACTTGAAACTTATCTTACAACATTTGACCAGTTTTCATAGAGCGAGAATCTCAGACAGCTAGAAAAGAAAGCATTAAAACATTTTTAATATGAATTTCAGATCCACAAATTCATCATAGTCCTTGGTTCACAACATGCTCTTGTCACTTACTACTGGTCCCTCCCTTCCTTTCCCCTCTTCTCTCCTCCCCTACTGTTTATTTCCTTTCATTGTTTTTCTTTTTCACATTTGTGAAACCACCACTGAACCCAAAGAGCTAGAAAATTGCTAATATTCTTGTCACTATAGTATAGTATCGTATATTTGGCAGATGATTTAAAATATTTTCTAGTTATTCTAATACATGGATTTCTTCATGGATAGTTTCTAATTATGTCTTTCCTGTGTATGGGCTATGCTTTCTTATTTCCTTACATGCCTCACAAAGTTTTGTTGAAATCTGTATGTTTTGATTATAGTGTATTGACTCTGGAAATTAGATTCTCCCTCTTCGTTGGGTTTTGTTGTTGCTCTCTCATGGGTTATTGTTTACTTGTTTAGTGATTTTTTAAAACCATTTTAGCAAGTTATGTATTCTTTGTCATGTGTGGCCATAAAGCGTGTTTTATTAGTTTATTAGTCAACTGGTGTTTGGATGCTGTTACTTTAAATACCTAAAGCCAACAAAAGAAAACCAATGAGTAAAAAACATATTTTCCCAGTCTTTGCAGATGAGCTCTGAGTTGCAGTACTTTTTTAATGCCTTACACTTTTCTTATGCAGAGCCTGAAACTCAGGCTAAGGTGCATGCTTGCATTTTCTGTGGTCTTTTCTGAATATGTGTCCCGCCCTCAGCATACTCATGGCCTTCATAATTTTCCAGTATATATAAAAGGTTTTTTTTAATGCTTGTTCTTCCACATATCTTGTTTCCCAAACTCTTCCTTCTCAGACTTCTCAGACTGTTCATTGCTTGTTCTGAGTGTTGTCCTTTGCTGCAGACTTCTGTGGCCAATATCTGTGATTTTAAATGCTGCTGGCAAAAGCCAACTGGAGAGCCAATGCAGCCCAACCCCTGGGAGTGCTCCCAGTCCAGTGTAATAAAAAAAGCCTTAGTGATGAAAGTGCTGCCAGGCAGGCTGAGTGCCATACCACATTTCTGCGAGAATACCGTACAAATTCCTACCACTGGTGCTAGCTATCTAAACCAGGATAGTGGGCTGTCATCAAAAAATCACTGCCAATCTGAGGCATAAAGAATGATAGATAGGCAATTGAAAATGTCTTTCTTATCACAAAGTAGCAGCTTTTATTCTTCACCGAATTTCCTTCTCATTGTTATAATGTTTTGACTAGATTCCAGAGTTCGGAGAAAGTTGATGGTAACAGTTTTGCCAGCTCACTAATTGCACATTATGGAGTCCCAGAGTTCCATACTCTGCCATTTTTTATGATGTTACTTGTGTTTCTATTTCTTTTTAAGTCAGCTGGGTAGGTTGTGTCTTTTTTAGAATTTGTACTGTTCATCTACTTTGTCTCATTTGTTGTCATGCAGTTGTTAATAGTATTATCTTATAATCTTTTTTATATCTGTAAAGTTATTAATGATGACCCCTTTTTTATTTCTGATTTTAATAGTTTAAGTTTTCATCTTTTTTTCTTGGTCAGTGTAGCTAAATTTTTTTCAGGTTGTTCTTATACATATTTTCAAATAACCGACTTTTAGTTTCATTGACATTCTATTCTATATTTCAATTATTTCCACTCATAGTTACTATTTCCTACCTTTTGATTTCTTTAAGTTGCTCTTCTTTCTCTATTTCTCTAGCTTTTTAAGATGAAACTTTACTGATATGGGATTTTTATCTTTTCAAAGTAAACATTTACAGTTACACATGTCTATCTAAATGCTGCTTAACTATATCCCATAACTTTTAATGTGTTACTTTTTTAAAAAAAAGGTATTTTCTAATTTCTCTCATGATTTCTTCAGGTTGAGTGGAAGCGTATTGTTTAGTTTCCACATATTTGCAGGATTTTCATATTTCCGTATGTTGTTGATTATGAATTTAACTCCATTATGATCAGGGAATATTATTTTTATAATTTCAATACTTTTAAGTGTATATAGGATTTTATTATGTAGTCTTTCCAGGAGAATGTTTCATGGGTGCTTGACAAGAATGTGTAGGCTTATGTTGGTTGGAGTGTTGTTTTCATGTCTGTTATTCCAGTTGGTTTTGTAGTTTTGTTTAAGTCTTCTACCTTGCTGATATTCTTATTTGTTCTGTTAATTTTGAATGTGTGATTTTGAAGTCTCCAATTACTATTGTTAGATTGTCTTTATTTTATTCTATTTTTTTCCTACTGTTCTGTAAGTTTTTGCTTTGTGTATTTTGGAAATCTGTTTTACGTTCATATATGTTTATAATTTGTATATAGTCCTGATGGATTGGACTGGTTGTTATATAACATCTTTTTTTATTCTGCAATAACCTTTTTTTGTCTTAATGTCTTTTTCGTCGACTCTTTTGGTTATTCTTTGCATAGTATATATTTTCCATCGTTTCACATTAATTTTATTTGCTTATTTAAATATATTTTCTTGTAGATAGTATATAGTTGGATCATGCCATTTTTATCTACTCTGCTACTTTCTTCCTTTTGAATGAAGTGGTTAATCAACTTATATTTAATGCAATAATGAATAAGGTAATATTTACATCTGCCGTTTTGCTGTTTTCAATTTGTTCTGTATTTTCGTTCCTCTGTTTCTCCACTATTAAATTACTTTTAAAAGGATATTTTCAGTGTACCATTTTAATTATCCTTTTTCTTTACAAAGTTTTTAAATTATTTTCTTAGTGTAGTTGATCTAAGGGTTAAAATTAGTATCTTAATTTAAAACAAGTGAATTTGTATCGATTCTAACTTAATTTTAATGGGATATAAAACTTTGCTGTAATAAATCTTCATTTTCTCTTTCCTCCTTTGTGCTCTAGGAGGAGAAACAGGATGTCATAGAAATTACATCTTAGCCATTACGTCTGTAGTGAATATAAGCCCACAACAAACACTCTTTTGTTATTATTGTTTTATGAAGTTTTCTTCCTAATCAAATAAGAGAAAAAAAGCTACAGGCAAATATATATTTATAACTGTTTGTATTAATTTCCTATTGTTGCTGTAATAATTACCACAAACTTAGAGGCTTAAAATAGAAAAAACTTATTCTCTTACAATGCTAGAAGTAAGAAATTAAAATACCTCAATGGAGTATTAACCAGAGTCAGCAGATATCCACTTCCTTGCTTTTTTTTCAACTTCTAGAGCTGAATTTCTTGCATTCTTTGGCTTATGTCCCCCTCATTCAACTTAAAAGCCAGGAGCATGGTATCTTCAAATGTCCCTCTGCATCCATCATCACATTCCTTTCTTTCTCCTTTGTGTCAAATTTCACTGCGTCTCCTTATGAGAACACTTGTGATTCCATTTAGGGCCCATCTAGATAATTTAGGATAATTAAGACACTTAATAACGTCTCAAGATATGTAATTACATTTTCAAAGTCTATTTTTGGCATAAAAGGTGATATTCATACGTACCAGGAGTTTGGACATGCATAACTTTTGGAAACCCACTATTCTGCCTACCACACTGTCATATATATATATATATATTTTAAGTTCTAGGGTACATCTGCAGATCTTGCAGGATTGTTACATAGGTATACACATGCCGTGGTGGTTTGCTGCATCCATCCCCCAGTCATCTACGTTAGATATTTCTCCTAATGTTATCCCTCCCCAATCCCCCCACACCCTGCTATCCCTCCCCTAGTCCCCCAACCCCCAACGGGCCCCAATGTGTGATGTTCCCCTCCCTGTGTCCATGTGTTCTTATTGTTCAATACCCACTTATGAGTGAGAACATGTGGTGTTTCTTTTTTTTTTCTGTTCTTGTGTCAGTTTGCTGAGAATGATGGTTTCCAGCTTCATACATGTCCCTGCAAAGCACATGAACTCATCCTTTTTTATGGTTGCATAGTATTCCATGGTGTATATGTGCCACATTTTCTTTATCCAGTCTATCATTGATGGGCATTTGGGTTGGTTCCAGGTCTTTGCTATAGTAAACAGTGCCACAATGAACATACATGTGCATGTATTTTTATAATTTATAATCCTTTGGGCATATACCCAGTAATGGGATTGCTGGGTCAAATGGTATTTCTATTTCTAGATCCTTGAGGAATCACCACACTGTCTTCCACAATGGTTGAACTAATTTACACTC